TCGCTGGAGCAGGGGCGGCAACGACAGTTACAGAAGCGGCGGCTGAGGCACTGCTGGCGGCGGGAGCGGGGCGAGGCGGTGGAGGAGGAGGCGGAGGTGGCGGGGGGGGAGGCCGCGGAGGCGGGGGACGGGGTGCGGCCGCTGAGGCGGCTGAGGCGGCGGCGGCGGCAGCGCCGGCACTGGCAGCAGCGGCAGCGCCACCGGCGGCGACAGCGGTGGAAGCGGCAGCACCGGGTGCGGCGGCGGCGGCGGCGGCAGAACCGCCGGAAGCTGAGGAGGGGGTGTAAAGGGACATGGGGCACGGAGTCGCGGTTGGGGTTGCGCATGGGGTTGCTTCTCCTTAAGTTTGCAGCTGGTCCCAGACCCTGCAAACTGGAGAACCCAGCTCACCCAGCTCACCCTCTCGCAACCAATACATCACCACATTGCCCGGCCGTCCCGGCCCGGCGGGTCATGTATTCCTAGGACCGGTTGCCCAGACATGTGACGGCCCTGTGTTGCTCACCCATGCAGTGCATGGCAAATGCTCATCTATGGACACGCCCCCTCCTTCCCGCAGTCAACCTACTTGATGTGGATGTGGAAGCCTGCAGCAGCTTGCGGTGTCCCACTTCCTGGGCTGTCACAGCAGCTGTAGAGGGCAGCGGCGGCGGCGGTGGGATGGCGTAACAGGGTGGGGGGGGAGAGGACAAGAGTGGGCGGGTGGGCAGGAAAGCAAGGAGGGTGGGGTCATCAGGGCAGATAGTGTACCGTCCGTTACCGCTAGGGCAGCGATGCCGTTAGGACGGGGTATGAGAGGTCCAGCACCGCCGGACACGTTACCCCGTGTGCGGGTGGGGGCAGTGATGAGCTGACCCGGCATGTATGTGTGCCTATATCATGGCATTCATGCTATAGCCATGGCGGACCAAAATAAGTTGATCTCCACACAGGTACATACGATGTGAAATTATAGGTAAAAGTACTCACGGGCACTCCCCGCAATAACAACCAGCAGCAGCAGCAGTGGCAGCGCCAGGGCCATGACGCGGGCGATGGTGGGTCCATTATAGTAACGGCCCGTGCGACTGCAGTCCGCACCCATGTGGCTAACCAGGACACCCTCTGAGGGGCAGATCGGGGGGGCTATGCTGCCAAGTATCTAATACGCATACACCACGCGTATGCAGAGTCGCCTCACCCTTTCACAAGCTGCAGGTTAATATGTGGAAGTAGGCTGGGATTTATTTGCCGCCCTGCACTGCCCCGCGGTCCTGGGGCGGGCTGTACGGCAGAGGTTTTTGATGTAAGAGCATGGGTCATCACAGGCCCGCCAAGGGTGAGAGGTCCCTTGGGGATGTGAACCTACAACAAACAACAACGACTATGGCCAGATCGGGAAATGGAATTGAGTTACTGGCTGCCACAATGCCGGCCTGCTGCTGCCTCGCTACATACAACGCGAGGTGCACACACCACGATGATCACCGCCAGTACCCCTACTGTGGGGCCCTAGCTGGGGGTGCCTGCCGCACTCCATCATTGACGTGTAAAGGGAATTGACGAATGTGATCACGGTACGGGGTGCCAGCGGCGAGCTGCCGCATGGGTACAAGGATTAGTGAGATAGGGGTAAAGGTCGCGTTACCTTGGGTGTCCTGCCTCGATCGGGGCGGGTGGGGGCCCCTGGCGCGGACGGTGGCGGACAGGATGATGCAGTAGGGGGCGGTAGGGGCCATGGTGTATTAGTAAGCTCAGGTGACAGGTGACAGGTACCTTGGAAGGAACACCGGGCTCCTCGCCTCGGGATGGTGGGTTGGTGGGTCGGTGAGTCATGCAAGCAACCAGGGTAGTGATATGACTCATACACCGTTTGGAGGCATAAGTAATCGGAACGAGCTGGGTGTGAAGGAAGGGGGCTCGTCTTTTGGAAATGGCAGTGTTTTGCACTGAACATTCATTAATATCACGTGACGGACGGGGGCATCGTTTTGGAGACGCATCGTTTTGGACTGAACATGCGTTCATATCACGTGATGGAGGGCTCATTTCATGGAAACGGTTTTTTGGGGACTGAAGGGGCGTTCACCTTTTTGCAATCCTTTTAATCTGCAACGAAGGGGCCTTCATTCCAAAATTATTTTGTTCCCTCGATATGAAATGGAGGGTTGTGGGAATGAAGGGTCAAAATGAATATTAGCCGGATTGAGCATGAATCGTATACGGAATGAGCGCCCCTGATTCCCAGAGTGTCCAGTGTTGTCATGACACTAATTCCTCGCATGTTTGATTGCTCCTTAGGTCAAGAACGGTCTTTCAATAAAGCCGTATTGCCTGATTAGGATCAGCAAGCTTCCATATTATGTCGTAATCCCGGTGACCGACTCATCGCGCATATGTTGCGGAGTACGCTACTGCTCTTATATTTACTTTACCACTTTGTCTTAAATATTTGATCAAACATTTTTTTCACAGCCTCCTGTAAGCTGCAAGCCATCGGAATTCGCATCTTCTTCCTCCCCATCCCCATGTCGACCTGATGATGGCTGACGATGCCATTCGTCCCGATCGATCAGAGCCAAAAAACGTACATCAACTGTGCTCAACAACTGTAACTTATTGCTAAATGCGATAGAGAGAATGCCAATGTCACGTAGCCCAGGTCAAAAGGTCAGGTTCTTGCAGCTTGACAGGCGCGCTCACAGTAGCTAACTCGACGTGTCGAGCGCCATCCGGGGCCTGCTGCCATTGTCATAAATAATCTAT